CTCTGGCCAACATGGTGAATCTTTAATAAACTTTGTCTTTGGCTGAAAAAAACAACAACTCCAAATGGGGTCATAAAGAGTCAGACACAACTGAAACAACTCAATTAACAACAACGGAATTATATTATTAGTTATCTTTTTATGTACATTTGTCTTGGTTCTATAACTAGATTATAAGATCATTGAAGACAAGATTAGTGTCTCCTTAATTATAATAATAGCTAACATTTATGTGGGGCTTACTATGGGCTAGACACTGAGTTAAGCACTTTAAAATTAGTACCTCATCTGATCTTCACAATGACCCTAGAGGTAGGCATTCCTATGATCTCCATTTTACAGACAAAGTAACTCAACTCATGTTCTGCTCACTTCTCCAATGATTAATTGTGGGATGGAGGGCATGGAGGTAAAACTGGGCTGTCAAAGGCTGTACTTGTGGGACAAAAACTTCCTAAGGTTCTAAGGTTCTAAGCCACAAAGGCTTTGAGTTTGGACCCAATGATTTTCATATCAGGATGAGCCTACTTTAACCATGTTTGGAGAAGCTCCTCATCACCTTGGCTCTATCACAAGGTGATAAGTATTTTGTCCAGGGTAGCTATGAAGACCAACTACTACTAGCTCATAGAGAAGTCACCATCTTTATTTGGTGGAAAGAAGACCCACAGCAACTAGATCATGGAACCCAGAAGAACTGAAACATGCTGGGCACACAGCAAGGAAAAAATAAAGATTTGTGGAGTGACTGATCAGCCGACATATAACATGCACATGATATAGTATACAACACAATAAAGTCTTATAATGATCACCCCACAATTTAGATTTTAAAATTCCAACACCCAGTTTAGTGCCTCACTTGGAGTAGACGCTCATTAAATGTTTGCTGATGATTATGATTTTAATGAAAGACGTAGGGTCTAAAAGGCTGAAGAGGTGAACTAGGGATTTTCTGCTTTGAAATGGGTAACCCTTATTTTCTTTCTTTTTTTTAAATTAAATTAACCAAAGGCTTATCTATTTTATTGATTTTTTCATAAAACCAGCTCTTAGTTTTATTTATTAGTTCAACACAGTTTTCTTAATTTCAATTTTATTAATTTTTCCTTTGGTTTTCAATATTTCTAATTTGCTGTTTAGTTGAGGATTTTTAATTTGTTCTTTTTCTAGTTTTTTTAGTTGTATGCCCAATTCATTAATCTCCTCTTTTTCTATTTTATTTATGTAAGCATTTAGAGATATAAAACTTCCCCTAAGAACTGCTTTTGCTGCATCCCATAGGTTTTGGTATGTTGTCTCATTATTGTCATTCTCTTGAATGAAATTATTGATTGTTTCTATGATTTGTTGTTTGACCCAATCATTTTTTAGGATTAGATTATTTAGTTTCCAATTATTTTTTAGTCTATCTTTCCATGGCCCTTTATTACATATAATTTTTATTGCATCATGATCTGAAAAGGATGCATTTAATATTTCTGCCTTTCTGCATTGGATTGTGAGGTTTTTATGCCCTAGTACATGGTCAATTTTTGTGTATGTGCCATGTACTGCAGAAAAAAGTATATTCCTTTCTATCCCCATTCAGTTTTCTCCAGAGGTCTATCATACCTAACTTTTCTAATGTTCTATTCACCTCCTTAACTTCTTTCTTGTTTATTTTGTGGTTAGACTTATCTAGTGCCGAGAGGGGGAGGTTCAGGTCCCCCACTAGTATAGTTTTGCTGTCTATTTCTTCCTGTAACTCCCTGAACTTCTCCTGTAAGAATTTGGGTGCTATACCATTTGGTGCATATATATTTAGTAATGATATTACTTCATTGTCTATGGTGCCTTTTAGCAGGATGTAGTTTCCTTCCTTATCTCTTTTGATTAGATCTATTTTTGCTTTTGCTTTGTCTGAGATCAGGATTGCTACCCCTGCTTTTTTTACTTCAGCTGACGCATAATATATTCTGCTCCAGCCTTTTACCTTTACCCTGTATGTGTCACTCTTTTTCAAATGTGTTTCCTGTAAACAACATATTGTAGGATTATGGTTTTTAATCCATTCTGCAATCCGTTTCCGTTTTATGGGAGAGTTCATCCCATTCACATTCACAGTTATGATTACTATCTGTGTCTTTTTCTCCATCCTTTTTCCCCCTATTTATGCTTTTCTTTCTCCTTTTTCCTTTCTCCCCTTCACTAGTGTTTTGCTTTTGACCACCGCCTCCTTCAGTCCCTTCCCCTTTTATTATCCCTTTCCCTTTTCTTCCCCTTTATTCTTACTGCTGCTTCCCTCCCTTCTTTCCCCCCCCCTTTTCTTTCCCCCTTCCCTTTTCTGAAATGGGTAACCCTTGTAAAGCATTCAAATGGACTAAAACCCCAGTGGGCATTTGGGGCCAGGTACAAAGTTTAGCTCAGAATTTCACCTTGGTTTCCCATGTTTCTTACTGGAATCTTCCCATCACCCATACCTCCCACTCCATCATCCACTTCTCTTACCCAGTCTGGCTATTTGTGGCCCAAATTTTGGTGTTGAGGGGAGGAATTAAGAGAGAAGGGAAGAAGAGGGGGGAAGGAGGGTAAGAGATCGGACTCTGGTTTTCTAGTTGAGACACTATATATAGCTCACAAAAGTTCTAATGGCAAAGATTTCTATTATTCATGGAAAAGCCCTGCCCTTGCTTGTCTTCAGGCTGACTTGCTTCTAAAATAAACAAGGAGCTCAGCGAGGCAGCCCAATATTGTCATAAAGCAAAAAGAATGTCACAGTGATTTCACCCAAACCTTAAAATGTCATTTCTTATTACAGTCAACTTTGAAATCCAATTAATTTAGAGTTTTGCAAGGTTGATAAAAGATAGGAAATAAAGAGGGATTTATCACTTTAAAAAAAACCTGCGGGGGGCGGAGCCAAGATGGCAGAGTGAAAAAAACCTTCCGTTTTCTAAAAAGGTTTTTAAAAAACTTACATCAGTACTAATTTTGTGCAATACTTTCAGTAACTCATTTCTAAAGGCACTTTTTCAAAATATATTATGTTTCTCAGTTATTTTCTTCACGATGGGGGTGCGGTGTGTGATATAGATCTACGATTTCATTGATATGAGAAATTCCCAGTGAGGAAATTCTCTCCACCAATGAAGATCTGGTACCTGCTCTAAAACTTACTGAGTTCTGGTACTGAGAGGTACAGGTACTGAGTAGGTTAAGTATTGGTACTGAGTAAGTTAAGTACCTCCTTTCCTCTCCTCTCTTCTCTCCTTTTCCTCCCTTCTCCTCCATTCCCCTCCTGTCCCATCCTCTCCTCTCTCCCTCCTCTGTCCTCCCCTCCTCCCCTCCTCTATTCTCTCCTCCTTTTCTCTTCCCACCCTTCCCCTGCCCTCCTTTCCCCTCTTCTCCTCTCTCCCTTCCTCCCCTCCTCTTCCCTCTTCTCCCTTCCTGTGCCCTCCCCTCCTCCCCATCTCTTTCCTTCCCTCCTCTCCTCTCCACTCCCCGTTCTCATGTCCTCTCCCCTCCTCTTTCCCTCCTTTGTCCTGCTCTCCCCTCCTTTTCTCTTCCCACCTTTCCCCTCCCTTCTTCTTCCCTCCTTTCCTCCCCTCCTCTCCGTTCCTGTCCCCTCCCCTCCTCCCCTCTCCCCTCCCCTGTTCTCATGTCCTCTCCCCTCCTCTCCCTTCTTCTCACCCCCTCTCCGCTTTTTCTCCTCTATAAAGAAGTTAAAGGGTTACATAGCCACTCTATGTCAGAGGCATTATACCCAGGGCTTCCTGACTGAGGCTGGCTAATGGATGGAGATCCATTACTCCACATGAAAGATTATATACAAAAATAATCAGTCAAATAGTCCTCTTAGCTCTTCTCTTGGCTTGAGATAATTTTTAGTAATTTCCTTTAAGATGTCCCTATGGAATGCAATTTTTATACATAAATTGTTGCTTTTTGAATTTACCAATGTGATATTAAACACACACATATATTTGTGTGTGTGTGTGTGTGTGTGTGTGTGTGTGTGTGTGTGTGTATAAATTAAGCAACTCAAAAAAGGACCTTTTCTTTAAGCTGGTAAAATTTGTTGATAAAATAAGCAATATTCTGGCCTCAGACACATAACATTTACTAGCTGTGTGACCCTGGCCAAGTCACTTAACCCCATTGCCTAGCCAAAAAAATAAAATAAGCAATAACCACAATCTAGCTGATAAATTGCCGGCTGTGAAGTGTCAGGAGCTTCCAAACAGAGAAAAGCTCTATAAATACAGTTTCTCACCAATGTAATCACAAGTAATAATGAGGATGAAGTTTCCAAATTGGAATTTAGAAGAAAAGGGAAATTAGTCATTCCTTAGAGCAAACATCTTTTTCTCTATAACATGCTCAAGGAAACCTCCGCTGGTGTGAAATAGATAGTCCCCAGCAAATCCAGCAGAGTACAAAATTATAGGTGAGCTCATTGCATCCTATTTATTTTCTTTCCTAATTTTTAACCTTTTAGAAGAATGTTTCACCTTTTAGGGGAGATATCAGCATAATGAAGGGCCTCGGACATAGACAAGCATCCACAAAACTGACTGAGCGACAACTGGATAATGGTTTTTAACAAGAACTCAAATCAAACCAGCAGCAAATACATCCCATGAGAGACAAGAATAGGAAACATCATTCCTAGCCTGTGGTTTTTAAGTCCTGGAATTAACCATCCTCTCGGTGCTATATTCCCAGGAGATGAAGCTTTTAAAGTCAGAAATAAAACTAAAAAAGTGATAGGCATACATTATGCACTACAATTTCCCCCAATTCTGTCCCCTACATTGACATTTGACTAATTAATAGAAACTTATACATATTAGGTAATAGATCCAGCAATGGTAATTCTTTTGCTTAAACTGTAACATACTAAATTCTTAAATGCTTCACTCATCTACGTTTAAATAAAACAAGTTAGAGACAGGAGAGATTAAATGCATTTGGTTGAAACCTGGGTCATGAAACAAAGCAGGTTAATCAGAACCTACCTTTAAAGAAAGATATGAATACGTACAACCAGAGATACAGACCAGAGTGCAGGCACATCTGCCACGTAGCCATCAGCATTATCAAAACACCCTCTGAATTATCTTTCTAGGTAAAAATTATATGACCAAGGAATGTCAGGCAGCTTCTTGTACCAAATCATTCAACAGCCCCACTCCATGCAGGCCTCTAAATCCCCACTGCCTTCCGTGAAATAATAACATTTACAAAACACACACAGTTGTCTCTGATTTCAGAGAGTGAAGCTCTCAATGAGGGCGGCATCAAAAAAGTGAATCAAACTGATGTCAGATGACTCATGTTTCCAGTCACCCTGGCTCTCCTTCTAGTGCCTGGATGGAGAAGAAAGGCATTAAGAGTTACAGAACAAAGCAGGCAAGGTTAGAGCAGGAAGCCAGCTACTAGCTCTGCTTGATATAACTTTGTATGGCCAAACTTCCATTTTCTGAATCACCTGGGGAGTTGATCGATCAATAAATATTTACTGGCTACATATTGTGTGTACAAGTGTGAAATAGGAAGTCCTGATCGTTTTTTAGTTAATGCTTTCACAAGCCTCCCTGAGGAAGGTTTAACTAAGGTTTAACAGGAACACTTCTGGTTTTAAACCTGCATTTTTGAAAGCCTTTCTCAAATGCTTTGGCAAATATAAATTCACAGTTCCATTGGCATGGGTCATCCATCCACCAGTAACCTCTATGCAACTTGGTCGGTAGTCTCAGAGAGTTCCATGGTTAAATCATGAATCACCTTATGGACAACCTGGTCATGAGCCTTTCCATGTTAAATTGTTTTTACAGGACAAATACAGTCCAATCCATTGCTGGTGCCATATTGGAAGCATTTCTGGCTTGGTAGGACCTGTTAGAGTTTGATCGCCAAGTCGAGTCTGGATGGCCACTTGTTGGGCACGTCATACATAACAGGGATTCTTTTCAAGTGAGAGTTAGACTCGATGGCCATTGAGATAGCTCTTCCAATTCTAAAAGTCTATGATTCCACGATTCAAGGACCCAGGGTCATGACACCATGATAGGTGCTAGGAGAGGACCATAGATTTAGAGCTGGAAGGGACATTGAAGTCCAGTTCAAAGTCCTTATTTTACTGATGAGGACATGAGACCCAAAGACACAAAAGTGTCTTGTCCCTGGTTCCTTAGTGAAGAAGTACAGTATAATAAATATTATTTGATTTTTCTTTCATGTTTCAAGATCTTACTGTGCCTCGAGGTTATCATTCTGAAGATAGTATATTAGAGCTCCTTATTCTAAGGATCATCTAGTCCAAATGACCCATTTTACATGTTGGGAAACTGAGGCCCACAGAAATGAAATGACTTGTTCCATCTTAGTAACACTTTACCCCTTTTTAATAGCTAATCAGCAACCCTTCCTTAGCCTTCTAACTCCCACTAAATAGATAATCTTTTCATCTTTTAGGCTGCTCAAAGTAGTGGGTTAGTAGGTAAATTGGGAAGACTTAGAAATGGAGGTTGCTTATCTAAAGGGGTCATTTTGCATAACATTATTAACAATTACCCTTAAATTTAGGGATATGGGTGAAAATTTTGTAAATTTATGTTGCCGCTACACTTTTTGTATCTCAGAGTAATAAAGCATATACCAAAGTTAACCACATCTTATCAGCACTTTCTGATTTCGTCAGTTTCCTGTATTCCTAAATTTGTTTGGATCCATTGGCCTTGGTTTTTGTCCCAGGTACTTTGTTTTATTGTCTCTTTGTTTATTGTTTATTCCTCCCTGGTAAGATCTGATGCCTTCCCATAACCAAAAATACCTCTCTGGGGCAGTTCGGTGGCACAGTGGACAGAGCACCAGCCCTGGATTCAGAGGTCTTTAAAATGAAACAAATAACCATTAGACAGGGCTAGTAGATGCTATTGGACGGATTCTTAAATGGGATAAGGAATTGGACTTGCCTCTAAGGTTTCTTTTGTAAATCTGAGTTCTGTGATCCCAAGTTTTCCTTTGGAGATTGGGAAGATGGGGCTCTGTCTAGACTTGGGGGGCAGGGAGGAAGTACTTCTGGGGGAGAACAGAGCTAAACAGGACATGAGGGGACATGGTAGGGAGGTTGGCCCTGGAATGTATTTGGCCCTGTAAGGAGGGCATAGAGGAAGGAAAGGAGTGACAGAGAGACACTTCCTGCCTACTGCCCATTCTCTTTAGGGCCAGCATTAGTCACTCATCTACTGTCACCTTTTAAAATATTCCATTCCAAAAAGATGACAAGTGCATGAGTATACATGGCACCTTGTGGGTGACACAGAGAAACAGGAGGTTTTGTTTAAATGTTATTACAAGAGTAGATTAGTGTCTTGACAACCCCGCAAATCTGGATTTTTCTAAATTCAGAGATAATAGCAACAATAACTCGCATTTCTCTAAGATGTGATGATGGTTTGTCATCTAGTTTTCACTGCTGAAACCATTTCCTAAATTAAATTCAACCACGTATCTGGTTCCCAGGAGAATATTTAGTTAGATTCTCCTTATTAGAAGAACATCGAGTTATGTTTAATTAGAGACTCTACCTGTTACATTCAGTTAATTTCGTTTCTGGAGGAAAAGTTAATTTTCAGTTAATATTTTTTTCCAGAGGAAAAGTCACATCAGAGCTATTACTGGCCAATTTGACACCTGGGGCAAGCAGTCAGAAAGACACTCTACAATCACCTTTTTAAGAAAGAGTTCTGGGAGGGGCAGCTAGGTGGCACAGTGGATAGAGTACCGGCCCTGGATTCAGGAGGACCTGAGTTCAAATTCGGCCTCAGACACATAACACTTATTAGCTGGGTGACCCTGGGCAAGTCACTTAACCCCATTGCCTAGCCAAAAAAAAAAAAAAGAAAGAAAGAGTTCTGGGACATTGCAAGGCTGCTCCTGAGGAGGTTGCCATCAGCACAGGGTAGAAGAAGGGGACTGGGAGTGCTTTGGGAATCATCTTCTTTTATTAATTATTCTTGCTAACTAGGTGCTAAGCTATGGCTTGGAAGGAGTATAAATGTTGTCAGCACCTTCCAATTTTCAGGACCCTGGGACAGAGCCCTGGTCACAACTACTGTATCTGCAGCCCCAGCTTCCATAAAACTGAGCTGAATTGTTATATAAGAATTGCTTTGGGTCATAATTACTTTTTTTTTTTAACAGGAACTCTTTTTCCTACATGAATGAACATTTTGGTGACCTTTCCATAACTGTCAGTTCTCTTCATCCTCAAAAGAAGAAGATTTTTTAGTTGTCCCTAAAGAAATGTAATGGAAATAACCTTGAAAATATGTATTATTTATAAATCCACTATGGCAAAAAAAAAAACCACCAACATCAATAATTTAGTGACTCCATATGCTTAATTTTTTTTTAATAACTGCTTCCTTTAACCCTCACATGTTCAATGTCTCCCATCACTCACATTCCACACCTACCACATTTGACATTTCCCACACAGGAAAAACAAAACAGCAGTAGGTTAAATATGCAAATCAAATACAAGGTGACATTTAATGAATAGCTAGCTAATCATGTCAGAAGTTCAGGTTAATTTTACAGGGCCCATCACTGATAATTTTAAGGTATAAGCATGGAGCACAAGGTGTTGTTGTTATATGTTGTTACAGGGTGAAATATAAAGTCAGAATTGTAGTGATATTATAGGAGATAACAGAGCTTATTGCTAGGAAGGATTTTACAGATAAGAAAAATGAGACCTAGAGAGAGAGGAAGTAACTTGTTCAAGGTTGTACAGTAAGTAGTAAGGGTGGTAATTTGAACCCAGGTCTTCAATTCCAACACTAGTTCTCATTTCTCCATACCATGGTGCCCATTTCCATGGATATCATATACAACCAAGGTATTATTATTATTAACTAATTATTCTCAGAGGTAGCCAGATAGTATAGTGAATAAAATGTTGGACCTGGAGTCAGGAAAACCTGAGTTCAAATCTAGCCTCAGATACTTGCCATGTGACCCTAGGCAAGTCACTTAACTCCGATTGCCTGGAAAGGAAAGAAGGAAAGAAAGAAAGAAAGAAAGAAAGAAAGAAAGAAAGAAAGAAAGAAAGAAAGAAAGAAAGAAAGAAAGAAAGAAAGAAAGAAAGAAAGAAAGAAAGAAAGAAAGAAAGAAAGAAAGAAAGAAAGAAAGAAAGAAAGAAAAAAGAAAAGTGATCTGGGAGTTTTAGTTAATTACAAGGTCAATAGAGTCAACAGTGTTACAGGGCATTCCAGAAAGGTAAATCAAACTCAGGTTGCATTAATAGAAATAGAAGAATTAATAAAAACAGAATTAGGAAGATGTTCTTCTAACTAAATTTTGCTCATAACTACAGAGAAGGTACTATATTTTAGAAGGAATATTGACACACTAGAACATGTGTAGAAGAAAATAACCCAGATGGTGAAAGGATCAGAGAGCATACCACATTTGTTGAAGAAACTAGGATGTTTAGCCAAAAGAAAATACTTAAGGGGACATGCATGCTGTCTTCAAATGTTTTAAGGGTTATGGTTATGTTTTGAAAGAGGGATTCAATTTGTTTTTCTTGGTCTACGAGGGCAGAAATAGGAGCAACAGGTAGAAGGTACCCGAAAGATTTTGGCTCAACATAAAGAAAAACTTCCTAGTGAAGAAGTGGCCAAGCACCAAAGTCTACCTTGGGAAATAGTAAGTTCTCTGTCACTGGAAGACTTTAAGAAAGACCAAAAGGCTTCCTGTTGAGGATGTTCTGGAGGGGTCATGGAATTATAGCCCTGGGTTGAAAGGACCCCAGAAACCATCTAATCTAAGGAACCTGTGCTAAAGGAGGCCATGACTTGTCTAAGGTGATCCTGGTAATAGGCATCAGAGGTAGGGCTGCAAACCCACGAGCTACGATTCCATGGTCCTTTTCAATGGCACCAGGGGGGCGGCTAGGTGGCACCATAGTGCATAGAGTGCTGGGCCTAGAGTCAGGAAGACTCACTTTTCCTGAATTCAAACATGGCCTCAGACACTTACTAGTGTGTGACCCTGGGCAAGTAACTCAACCCTGTTTGCCTCAGTTTCCTCAATGATACAATAAGATGGAGAAGGAAATGGCAAATCACTCCTGTATCTTTGCCAAGAAAACCCCAAATAGGGTCACAAAGAGTCGGACACAAATGAAACAATTCAACAACATGCTGCCAAAACAGATGACCCCTGAGATCTCTTCCACCTTTTAATATTCTGTGATTCAGTGAGCAGTATGCA